TGCGCCACTGCTATCGCAACGGCACAATAAGACTACGGCCCCACAAGAGACTGCCACAAGGGCCATATGCAACGCTCGCTGTAGGCATTGTGGACCGCAACGTTTTCGTACCCTCACGGGTGGGCGCTGCTGCATGCCTGCGTGAGTTGTCATGCGCCTCTTTTGATGGGTTGCGTGAGTCATTTTCAGTCTCGACAACGTGGCACAGTCGAGTACGTTTGGGGTGCGGCATGCAACGGCCGCTCACCCTGCACGTGAGAGGGGTCCACCTATATTGATGCCAGAGGACGGTTTGGCGGAGCGCGTCGCATCCCGCAGCATCGCAACGCGGGTTGCGGGGGCCCTCTGTGTTGGGAGGGCTCCGGGCCCCCCTAGCTCAATTCGCGGACCCGTGCGCTTGCCAGCCGGAGCCGAAGTCATCCCGTCCTACTCGACCAGCCAACGCGACACGTCCTCCGCGGTCACCCAGTTCCCTCTGCGGTGGCCTCGAAACTATCGTGCGAGCATGTCACCTTGAGTCTTCCAACCATGTCTTGTCGTGATTGATACCATTGGCCGCTTCGGTCGGCTATGAAACGCGAACCATCGCCTTCACCGTTTGTCGGCGTTGTGTAGTACCAATGGTCGCCTCAGTCCCCAAAATCGCTCTCTGCTGGCGAAGTAGCGATGGTCCCCCTCCAGCTCCTGGCGAAACGACGAGCGGCGTGACACTCATGGCCTTGGGACTCGTCGGCGTTGACATACCAGCCCGAGGCGAACAGCAGCCCGTCGTGCTTCACCACCCAGGCGGTTCTTCAGCTCAAGCTCACCGGTGTAGCCGCCCCAGGTCCCCGCTCTCCGGGTTCCTGGTAGACGTAGGACACCCACTTGCCGTCCTCTGTGCCGACAGCATGTCCGGCCCGAAGTTGTAGCCGTTGGCGTCTGTCCCACCCAGCCCTTCAGGTCCAGCCCCAGGCGGTGGCAGTCGGGATGTCCGATGACCAGGTCGTTCTCGTCGATGATGAAGACGTACCACTGACCGTCGACGCTCTCCTCCCGGTTGTAGTAGGCGAGGGTCGCGTCGAGTCCCTGGGTCTCGTAGCGGCTGATGGCGTTGTCGACAAAGAACTTCGTGTAGTCGGCGGGGGCGGATTTGGGTGGGATGGAGGACACTATTGCCGCGCGCTATCCGCTCAGCCTCGGCGGAGGTAAGACCGGGCTCTGGCTGTGGGATGGCTGCCACAGCAGCTTTGACAATCTCTTCTACCTCGCTCTTGGACAGTCCCGCCTCCGGCTGAGGCATGTCCGCCATCGCAGCATGGATCGCCTTCTCCACGTCGGCGGATGTGAGTCCTGGTTCGGCTGTAGACGGCGCTGGAGATTCGGCTAGCTCGGCGCGCACTATCTCTTCGACTTCGGCGCGGGACAGCCCCGCATCCTTCACCTCCACAGGCGATGGAGAGGATGAGGACCGGAACGGTCAACACCGATAAAATCAGTGCGCTCAGCTTGCTGTCAATCACTGCAATGCCCACCTACCGGATTAAGTGCTTTTCAGGGAGACACAACAAAGGGGGCGCCTACAGCCCGCCAATTGCGACGGCGTTGCTGGATGTGGCCTCTATGGTTCTGCGGTCCCGGGTGGGGTTGCTACTTGAGATGATGAGGTTCCCGGACGCGCTACGGGGACCGCTGGCTCCGTCGTAGTAGATGATGGAGACCTTCAGAAATTTGCCTTGGTCCGCTGCCGCGGGAGCATAGCACCCCTGGGATGAACATCTGCTGTTGTTGCCGCCAATCAACGTGAAAGGGCCAGTTGCGGTATCGGCTTTGTGCCACCGTACCCAGACGATCCGCAGCTCACCATCCGGGTCCGTCAAGACGGCATTGAGTACACTGCCCACCGCCGGCGTCGGTGGAATCAGGGTGATGGTTCCCGCCTCGTCGATGTTCTTGACGCGAATCGTGACGGAGACTGAATCGTCGGTCAGGGCCGGGCTTTCCGCGTTGCCGGAGGCGTCCTCGCCATCGGTCACGTTGACCGTGATGGAGTAAGAACGCTTTACCTCGTAGTTGGGAGACGCGCCGGACTTCACGGTTATCTCGCCGGTGCTCGCGTTCATGGCAAAGACCTGGTTGAATCCAGCGGCGTCTGCTCCGGAGACCGAGTGGGTTAGGGGAGTCGTCGTCCGGGTCCGCGGCCGCCGCTTGGCCTACGACGGCGCCGGCGGCGGAGTTCTCGTCCACCCTGAGGGTCAGGGGGTCTGCATCGCCGTTGCAGTCCCTGTCGTTAAAGACTGGCGGCGCCATGGACGGCGCAGCCCCCCTGGCGTAGACGCCATCCTCATCCTGAACCCGCTGGGTTCGGACGAGGCGAAAGCAGGGGACCAGCCACTGCTTCCTCGGTAGAGCATTTTGTCAGCCTATGGACCAGCCTGCCTCGGCGGAGGATTCAAGCTTTGACCGCGTGATGTCAACATACAAAGAAGGGGTACGCTGTCCTGCATATATGACCAGCCAGTACCTGGTATTGGCATCGAGCTCAACCCCGCTGCTCGTGAAGTCTTCATTGGTTGATATGAATCGTCGAAGGTCGCCGGGTTGGTCAGAGTATCAATCGTCTCACCCGGCCTACCCGACGTGTCAGCGCTTATGGTCACCGCTGGCTCCAACTCGCCGCTGGTGCGCGTTGCCAAGCGAACCTTGCTGAGAGTAACGTCGAAATCGCCGGTGCAGAATGACTGGGGTACTTCAGAGCTCCGATCCTACCGGTGGATCTGGGTCTCGTCCAAGTGCTACCTGGACCGTTGCTGCCGACTGCGCTCCCGAGGGGTCCACGCCTGCACAGCAGCAACGCGCCATGACGATGGTCGGCGCCAGAGCTATGCAGTCGAGTCGGGCGCCTGTTTGCCATCTTCACCCGTCATCTCAGAACTCCTCTCGCGCTCCTCGGTTTGCTATCCCTCTGCTCTCACCAGTCCGTCGATCACAGGAGCATGCGCCGAGCCCTCAACCCAATCGTGTTTCCGACCGCCCGATCCGCTGTCCCTTCTGATCTCAATAGCGCCCAATGCTTGTGGGCTTATGCCTCACTAGTAAGTTTCGGCCGTTCCATGGCTGACAAGGTTCGTTTGCAACGTTCCTCAGTAGGAATTTGGGACTCAACGTTTAGCGAGCTAAAAGGGAGCGCTTCTGCGTGCATCCGGCGCGCCATTGCACCCTGGTGCAGGTGGTCTGTAGCCCATGACAGTGTTCTTTATGCGTGCGTTGGGATAGCCAATCGTGGGGTACTATGCCCACAACGGATTAGGTACATTTCAATCTCGACAAAAGGCACGCGGGGCGGTACGTTTGATGGGGTGATGCCGGGGATCACCACCATCAACTGAGAGGGTCCATCCATACAATGCCAGAGGACGGATCGGCGGAGAGCATCCGGTCTCCGCAGCATCGCGAGGCTCGATGAGGTGGGGCTGGGGGTAGGGCATGCCCGGCGCCGAGCTGCGCAGGCGCGTTCTCCGGGCCGTCCGCGCCGACCCGGACGTGATGCTGTACGCCGCGAGGGTCTCGGTCTGGGCGCGCTGGCTCGTCTGGCTCGTCGGCGTGTTCGAACTGGCCTATCGACCGGGGCTCTGGTACGCCACCGACAAGGAGTACCTGTTCCTGAGCGTGCCGCTGCTGGCGTTCAACGGGTTCGTCCACTACCGGCTCCGGAGGGACCGGGCGGTGACGTGGCGCTGGCTCCTCTTCCTCAGCGGCATGGATATCGCGCTGATCACCGCCGCCGTCATCATCGGCGGCGACTTCCACCTCTTCAGCTACGTGACCTACTATCCCGCCCTGGCGCTGTTCGCGGTCGTCTTCGCGTCCCTGTGGCTCAGCCTCGCCTGGGCGACGATGGCCGGGGCCATCTATGCCGTCGTCAGCCTGACGGTGGGCCCCGGTCTCGACTTCGATGCGGGTCAGGAGAAGGCCCTGCTCGCCAGGGTGGTGGCCATGTATGCGGTCGTCGCATCCGTCAGCCTCATCGCCCGGTTCGAACGGGTCAGGCGGCAGGAGTCCGCGGAGCGGGAGAGGGAGCTGCTCCGGGAGCGCATCGAGCTCTCCCAGGCCATCCACGACACGGCCGCGCAGACCGCGTACATGATCGGCCTGGGGATACGCAAGGCCATGAGGCTGGCCGGCGGCTCGAACGAGGAGCTGACCGCCACGCTGGCCGCGACCGCATCGCTGTCGAAGGCGGCCATCTGGGAGCTGCGGCGTCCCATCGACGAGGGGCATCTCTTCGAGGGGAGGGAGCTGGGCCGGGTGCTCTGGTCGCACACCGAGACATTCGAGAGGGTCGCGTCGGTCCCCGCCGAGATGCTGCAGTCCGGGACCGAGCCCCCGCTTGCCGTGGAGACCCGGGCCCGCCTCTTCTCCATCGCCCACAACGCGCTCACCAACGCATTCCTGCACGCCGGGCCGGCAGGGTCGAGGTCCGGCTGGACTTCGGGGCCGACTGCATCCGGCTGTCCGTCTCGGACGACGGGGTCGGCCTGCCCGACGACTACGCCGAGCGCGGCCGGGGATTCAGGGGCATGAGGGCGGACGCCGAGCGGCTGGGCGGCAGGCTCATCGTGGAGACGGGCGGAGGCAATGGGGGAACGACCGTGACCTGCGAGACACCCTACAGATAGTTGCAGAGAGGAGACCGAGATGTCGTCGACGGAACGGATCAAGGTGATGCTGGCGGACGACCATCCCATCATGAGGGACGGCCTGCGGGACGCCCTGGAGGGTGAGGGGGACTTCGAGGTGGTCGGATCGGCGGCAGACGGGGTTGAGGCGGTGAGCATGGCGCAGAGCGTTGCGCCCGAGGTCATCGTCATGGACGTGATGATGCCGCACAAGGACGGCGTGGACGCCTGCCGGGAGATCATGGAGCTGCTGCCGGACACGCGGGTGCTGATGCTGACGGCCTCGACCACAGAGGATGCGGTCGTGGAGGCGATCGCCGCCGGCGCGACGGGCTATCTGCAGAAGGACTCGGGGCCTGAGGAGCTGGCGGAGGCGATTCGGGAGGTGGCCCAGGGCCGTCTGCGCATACCGGACAAGTCCATAAGGCGGGTCTTCGCGATGATCCGCGGCCAGCGGGGGCTCACCGCCAGTCGGGCCCTGAAAGCGCTGACCGACCGGGAGCGGGAGATCCTGCAGCTGTTTGCCAGCGGCAAGTCATACGCCCAGATCGCCGAGGCCAAGGGCAACAAGATCGTGACCGTCAGGAACTCGATCTATCGCATTCAGGACA